AGAATACACACGGAAATGCCCACCGGCACACTCTCCTGCCCCTCGGCCCAGACAGAGAGGTGTCCATCCAGAGGTCCGGGGAAGCACGACACCCTGAGAGAGCAGAGCAAGGCCGAGGAGGGAAGCCCTTTCCAGAAACTGGCTCGGGGCGCACACAGAAAGGGCTTTGTTTGCAAAGGAGCATGCTCACAGAACAAGTCTTCGGTGCCTGCCCCGAGGGCTGGGGCACAACACAGCACAAAATGCAAACGCGCAGATTCTGGGCACCGGCGTCCGACCAGATGGGGCTGGCCGCCCGCTCCGCGAATTCCACTGCTGGGGACTCGGACCGGGACCGCCGCGGAGGTACGGGAATGCGTACATTCGAGCACGTGCATTAGCCACGCCCCCCCCATCCTTGGGGAGGGCAACAGACAGGCAAAAACCCAAAAAGTAAAGGCTACATAACTTAGTCTACTCCTAACTCGAGGCACAAGGGAGGAGGGACCAAAAAAAAAATCTCCAAATTGCCTCTTCAGGGACTTGTTTATTAACTTGTTTCTCCTGCCCCTGGGGAAAGAAGGGGTCATGCAGCCGTGATTTGCTCCTCCATTCTATTTTATTCTCTAAAAACAGTACGGCCCCGAACCCAGGTCACCACCCTGGAGATGACGTGCGAACTAAGTACAGCCCCAGCCCACCGGCACGCCCTAAGCGTGGTCCCTTTTCTACTCTTCACCCTGGGCCCGGAGCCTCACTCGCCGGGTCCCAGAGCATTCCGGCCCCGGGCATCTAGAACACACCGGATTCTGCTAGAAAGAGCTGGCTGCGTGGAATCAGAGAGAAGCGAGCAGTCCCCCTGTGAGGAACGACATTCTGGCCATCAGCACTGTTCCCCGGCGTGAGCAGGGCCCGGCAGGAGAAGGGTGTCCGCAGAAACGAGGAAACCGCTGCCGGAATCTCGCAGAGAGCAAGGTTGGCTGAGCTCCTGGTCCCCTACAAGTTCTGAAACTCTGGGAGGAAGTGATGTGCACCACGAGGACCTGGGAAGCCGTGTGACCCCGAGTCCCACTCGGCCTCAGAAAAGGGTCGCACAGCTCTGGGTCCTGACGGAGGCGGGGGGTCCCACACATCTGTACGTGTAGTAAGACTGCAGAGAACCACATTAACACTTGCACATGTACACACACACGAGGGTACGTAAAAACTGGTGGAATAAGGGGTATGTGATCCGGTTAATAGTATCGAAGCCTTGTCATCCTCCTGTTGTTTTTTTTTTTAAGATTTTATTTATTTATTTTTAGAGAGGGAAGGGAGGGAGAAAGAGAGAGAGAGAGAAACATCAATGTGCGGTTGCTGGGGGCCGTGGCCTGCAACCCAGGCATGTGCCCTGACTGGGAATCGAACCTGCGATGCTTTGGTTCGTAGCCCACATTCAATCCACTGAGCTACGCCAGCCAGAGCTAACTTCCTGGTCTCGATACTGTATGTAGCAGCGATTCTCAACCCACTGGGGACTTTTGTCTAGAGACATTGTCACAGCTGGGGGATGTGCTGCTGGCATCTAGCAGGCCAAGGACAGGCATGCTGCTAAACATCCCACAATGCATGGGACAGCCCCCCAGCACGCACCCACGGCCCAGAATGTCACTGCCGCCCAGGTGGAGAGCCCCGAGTTCAAGCATTGTCACGGGGGGGCAGCTGGGTGACGGGCACACAGGACCTCACTGCACTGTTTCCGCAGTTTCCTGTGAGTCTGTAATATTTCAAAGTAAAGAAAAAAGTTTTTAAAGTTCAAGTCTACTCAGGATATCACGGTGCTACTTCTCCGGGAGTCCGCCAGCCACTCCTGGGAAAATGCAATGCCCTCCACTAACCAAAGGGTTCAGCTGCCCCACGCCAGTGCTGCTGACGCCCACGGCAAACCTCTGCGGCGGCATGAGAGGGCAGCCGAAGCTCACCCCGCAACCAACTCCCCGGGCCCCTGGCTCCTTAGGTCAACCCTCCTGGGAAACACAGACGGAACCCCCTGACGCTCAGATCATTCGCCTTCCGTCTTCCCTTGAGCCCAACCTTCACGAGAGACAAGGACAACCCAGCCCTGGCTAGTGTGGTTCGGCGGGCTGGGCATCATCCCGAAAACTGGAAGGTCCCAGGTTCGATTCCGGGTCAGGGCACGTGCCTGGGTTGCAGACCAGGTCCCCAATTGGGGGCATGCGAGAGGCAACCGATTGATGTTTCTTTCCCTATCTTTTCCTTCCCTTCCCATCCCTCTGAAAATAAGTAAATAAAACCTTAAAGGAAAAAAAAAAGACAAGTACTCTCAGGAAAACATCATCTGCAAAGACAAAGCACATGATGGACTTTCAAATTAGTTTTTGTGCTCCTGCATTCTTGTTCACCCCTGAGTCCAACCTCTCACGCCTGCCTCGGGGCCTCGATCGTGCCCGACCCACAGCACGGAGCCGGAGCTGAGTTCATTCACGCTCAACACCCCGCCCCCCCCGTGTCTCCTCCTTCCATAAACATAAATGCCTCCCTGAGACCCTGTGACGCCTGCGTCTGGAACAGTCCGACGCAGCGGCGAGTGCGTCTCTTACACCGCGAACAGTCCGCGCATCGAGCCGCCCCGTCAAGTGGGAAGAAAGTGAGTTCTCTCGCCCCAGCTGCACTGCACGGAGCTCTCACTGACGCCCGCAGTCAAGGTCATTCCCAAACCGGTCTCTCCCACTGGGGGTCCAAGGTGAAGGATTGCACTGGCCAAGCACACCCCCCACACACACACACACACAAAGGACAGAAGCTGTCAGTCTGTGATACGTGTCCCACTTTGCTTGGCATAGTTGGGGGGGCTTTACTGAGCCCCACACAGCCCACCGGCAACACGGGAGGCCCTGAGCTCAGCCTCTGAGCCGAGTCTGGAATGCTCAAGGACCTGTTGTCCGTGTGGGGATCAGCGACCCCGCTCTCAGCGCACCTGCCATTACTGTCTCAGCGCCCCGACTTCCGTTCCAGGAGGGCGGGGGCAGAGCCTCACCCGGCACCCGTGTGGAGCAGGTTCCTGGTAAAGACCTGTGGCATGAACAGACGGCTCACAGAAGGACTCGCACAGCCATGCCTTGGCACGCTGGAAGGTTTTGCTGGAAAGCTTCTAGAACAATTAGCAAAGCACAGTGAGGGAGCAGGCCCGGTCTTCCTACTCACAGACCAAGAGGCTGAGGGGTCTGCGAAGCTGAGGACCCAGCCCCAGGCCAGGGTGTTAAGTGCCGTCCTCGGACCCTCAGCCTGGGGCTTCTTCCCACCCCCCACCCCGCCATCCCCAGTAAATACCAGTACCTAGCACCCATGTCTTCCGCTAAAATAAAATACTCAAAAAAAAGACACACGCCCTGGCTGGTGTGGCCCAGTGGATTGAACACGGGCCTGTGAACCAAAAAGTCACCGGTTCAACTCCCAGCCAGGGCACATGCCTGAGCTGTGGGCCAGGATGCCGGCTGGGGTCTGCAAGAGACAACCAATTAATGTATGTCTCATATACTGATGTTCCTCTCCCTCCCTTCCTCCTTCCCCCCTTCCCCTCTCTCTAAATATAAATAAATAAAAACACGTGCAAATTTGATTTAGACCACCAAACAAACCAAAAAAAAGGTCTTGAGTTGAAAACCGCAAGAGAAGGGCTTTCAAATCTCCCGAGTGAGCGAGCGACGCGGAGCAAGTTGCCCCACCCCCAGTGCCTTCGCTTCCCCTCCGTAACAACAACGATGGAGTGCCCGCCCCCTGGGCCACGGAAGGGTCAGAGGAGAGGGTGACACTTGCAGCTCCTGACGGAGCCACGGCAGGTGTCCTGTGGACACAAGCATCTATGCCCAGCCCTACTCCACTGTGGCTTTTCCGATCCTTCATTTTCATAATTCTGCAGAAAATATCGGGAGTTCCGGGTGGTTCTGGTCAGGGTTGCGCAGCTCGCGGAACTGCCTGCAGATGCACAGAGCTGCCCAAAACTGAAACGTGGTGGGCAGCACCCCTCGCCCCAGAGCACTGGCCAAGAGGCTGCCCACGCCCAGCTCCACCCCTCCCCCTGCCTCGCTGTAGACTTTCACGGACGATTTAACCAAACAACAGCCATTCCTCCCATGCCAGGAGCTGTGTAAGGCGCCACGGGCACAGTGGGTCCCCTCTTGGGGAAAGCCATCACCATGCCGCTCCGCAATCCTGAAACACTAGGACGGAAGCTCTTTGCAACCCGAGCAAAGAACGTTTGGACCGACTGAGACAGAGTCCCCTTCACAGGGCGTGTGAGACACAGAAGGGGAGTCACTTCCCTGGGACAGGGCCGGCAGGAACCTCTGGTGGGCTCCAGGAGGGTGGAGAGATGGTGGAACACAGGGCACCCCAGGCTGCCTGGGCAGCGGGCCTTTCCCGGTGTCCTCAGCTTACCCTCAAAACTGGGGGAGGGGGGCACCGGGGTCCGGCTGCAGCCCAAGGCTCCCCAGCAGAGGCTCCCTAAGTGGGCAGAGGACTCAAGGGACCCTGAGAAAGCAGGAGATGGGGAGGCGGCTGAGGGCACCCTGGCTGGGTCAAGGCCTACTCCTGAGCTGTCTCCAGAAGGCCACTGTGCCGGGACACACCAACCCTTCACCTCCCCAAACCCGAAACTGAAAACTGGGCAGAGGAGGACGAGTGTCTGGCAAGGGGATCCTTTGCTCAGCACCCCTCAAACTGGGCGCAAGAGGTGCCCAGCTCCCCGGCAGCGTCCCAGCTGCACAGCCCTGCCTCTCCCTGAGGGGGTGCCAGTCAGGTTCAAGTTCTGGGGAGCTCTGAGGGGCCGGCAGGGTGCGCAGGACACTCTCTAGAAAGGCGGGGGCGGGGCTGCGCTGCGGTGAGGAGGGTCGTGGGGGTCTCCCGTCCTAGATGCACAGACAAGGAAGCCAGCCGATCCCCCAGACCTAGCTGGCTGTGCTGGGAGAGGTTCACGGCCACGGATGTCCCCTCGGACCGCCCCAGTGCAGAAAGTTCCTTACCTGGTGCAGGCGTCTCCGGAACCAACTTCTCCCTCTTGGGAGCTTTCTTGGGCTTGGTCGCCTTCTTGGGTGGCCTGGGCTCCAGCAGGCGCAGCTCCCGCGCCCCCTCCCCCGCCCCCGCGGGCGGAGGCGGCAGCGGCGAGAAGGACTCAGGCTCCAGCTCCGGGCGCGCATAGTAGTGCTCCTGGCTCCAGATCTCCTGCACGTAGTAGTCGGGGTTCTCTAGGGCTGCTTCCTGAGCCCCTGCCCCGGCCAGCGCCACCTCCAGGATCACCAGGGCCAGCACCAGTGTGGCGGGCCCCCGGCCGGCCATGCCAACTCTGCCCCGCTCCCTAGGCAGGGTTGCTGTGGCCGGGAGCGGCGGGCGGGCGGTGGGCTTGGACGCTGCAGTGCGGCGCACAAGGCGCGGGAGGCGGCAGGCTGGCCGCGCGTGTGACCGGCCGGCTGGGCTGGGCTGGGCTGGGCCAGGCCAAAGGCGGGCAGGGGCCCCGCCAGCCGCGGGGCGGGTGCAGGGGGGCCGGCCCCGCCCTTCCTCCTTCGCTCCCTTTCCCCACCAACGGCGCCAACTCCGCAGCGGCTGGCCCGGGGAGGCAGGTATTGGAGCCATCTCCATCCCGGTGACTGTCTCCAAACTTTTCCCTGACCGGCACCCGCGCATCTGAGCTGCCCTGCTGGGCGCCGCCTCCCCAGAGATGCAGAGGAATCCCCTCTGGAAGAAAATGTGTCCCGCCCTTTGGTTTTGCCGGTTGCAGAACCATGACCAGAGATGGCAGAGGATTCACATAGGTCCTTAGGCAAACTGAAGCTGGAAACCTGGACCAGACACGCATTTCCCATTGGGCTACAGTTTTCCACTCACCTTGACCCTGATGCTGTTGCAGGCACTGTGATGGAATTCCTGAGCCACCCGGTCACCAGGGTTCAGAGGAGCCACCGGGCCAAGGCCCGATGACTGCGGGGTCCCCGTTCCCATACGAGACGGTGTCTCTGGGGGACTGACAAGTGGAAAGTGGAACTATCCTCGGCCGGCCTGGGCCAGCCCCGGTGACGGGTTCGTCCACAGAGCCTCCCCTGCCCAGAGCCGCCCTCGTCAGGCAGGAGGGGAGCTCAGCGCCTCCCGAGAGGGTGCCCGCTGCCCGGGGAATATCTTTGCGCTGGTCCTCCAGGCTGGGTGTTGGGGGTGCGGGCCTCCGTTGGTTTTCTCATTGGTTCCCTGTTGCTGCTGCAACAGAGGACCGCGAATCTCATGGTTTAAAGCAACAGGTACTGATTGCCTTGCGGCTCTGCGGGTTAGAGGTCTGAGCAGGTGCCATCAGCCAAAATCAGCACCGGCAGGCTGCGCTCCCCAGCGGAGCCTCTTGGGGGGTGGGGGGGGCCTTCCAGGCTCATGGCAGGGCCGGGGGGAGGGGGGGGTTGAAGCCAGTTTCCCCGGCCGTGTCCCTGAGGCCCCGAGGACGTGCTGGCCATCAGCCCCGCCCTGTTGGCCTTCTCCTGCCGGCTGCCCACGCTCCTTCCCTTGCTTTCCACAAGGACTGCCTGGTGGCCTCTCCGGCCCTGGGCTGTGGGCTGCACCCCAGAGCCCGCGCTGGTGCGCCGACTCCCTCCGTGGCTCGAGCTCTCCCTGACGTCCGCCCCTGCGGCCGGTTTCCTCCCGGCACTGGAGCGAGGTCTCTGCTTGGGGGGGGGCTCCTGCCCTTTGATGGGCCCGGACAGTGCAGGACGGTCCCCTCTCTGGGGGTGATGACCCAGCCACACCTGCTGTCCCAAGCCCGGCGTGCCGTGAAACCAGCGTGTTCTCGGGGCCCCGAGACTCAGGAAGGGATGTCTTTGGAGGGCCATTGGTCTCCCAAGGGACAGACTGGCCCTCCTTTCTGAACGGACTGCCACCTTCCCCGTCCCCAAGGGCCCTGCCATTCCGGGATGACGGGGAGCTGAATCTGGGCTCCCCGGCAAGTTCCCCGTTTTCCTGGCATCACGGGCCTGAGCCCGCACGGTGGGCGGGCAGCGTGCGGACCAGCCCAGCTGCCGTCCTCTGCCTCCGCCCCCCCACTGGCCACCCCCACCGGCCACCTCGCTCTTTCCCTTTGCTGCCCCCACCCCAACAGGCCACCGAGCCGGGCCACCCTTCGGGGCAGGTCGTCCAGTCCCGGCCCCCCCCCCCCGGCCACAGACAACGCAGAGTGGCCGTGATGAGAAGAGGAAGCTCGGGCCCAGGCGGGGCCCCACTCGCCTCCCCACCAGGAGGGAGGCCATGGACCGGGTCCCCAGGACATTCCAGGACCAGAGCTGGCGGGGGTCTCCGGAGTGAGACAAGAGGCAGGCCCCCTTGCCCCCCTCAACCACCCTCCCAGCAGGCCGGGCCGGGCTGCTCCGGGACCCCCTTGGATGTGCACTCGCACTCCTCCGTGGTGTGTCCCCAGAGGCCACTCACACGGCACTTTTATCCTAGGCCAGGCACTCCAGGCGACAAACCAGGCCAGCGCGGGGCTCCCCAGGCAGAACGGAACCCGCTTCCGGCAGCAGGCGACCCGCCGAGAAGTCGCAGCTGGCTGTGTGGAGCACAAGGAGGGGGCCCCCTGGTGTCCTGGCACCCAGCAGCGGCCTCCGAGACCACCCAGGCCAGAGTCACAGCCGGCACCACCCCCACCAAAGACGCCAGAGCTTGCAGAACGTGCAGGCGTCGGGCCCAGACCCGCGGGAGCCTCCCGCGAGGTAGGGCGGGCCACTGGCGTGTCTACAAAGCTCCACAAGTCATTCTGAGGCGGCGAGAACTTGAGACGGGCCTCCCCTCCCATTTCACAGAGGGGGAGACTGAGGCCCAGGCTCCCCCACAGACCCAAAGCAAACTAGCGACAGTCAGGACGACACCCTGCTTTTGTGCCTCCCTGTCCGACAGTGTGCACCTGTGTGGCCCTGAACCCCTGAGTTCCGAAAACACGATACTTTCCCGGCACCTCAGCAAAGACGTTACCGTGCACCTGCTCCACGGCGTTGGGCCAGCGCTCAGACACCGCTCCCCCCGCCCAAGGGCAACTCGATTTTCAGCTCGTCCCTGGAATCGGGAACTGTGTCCCACTGCTCACTGCTCCCCCATCGTTGCTGGTTTGTTTTCCAGGGACAGACACGTCATTAAAGCAAGCGGAGCAGACAGAACAAGAGTCGATTGCACGGAAGCCAATTCCCCCAACACGCAGCGGTCCACAGCACTGCGTGGGCTGCCTCGTCCACCCCTGGTCCCTCTCCCTCTGGGGCTGCTCGCCTGCAACCTTGTAGGGCACAATCCGGGGAGGGCAGGAAGGTGGGGTGGCGAAGCTGACCTCGCTTTCTTGTCTCCGTGCCCCATCCTGCTTCTCCACACTGCCTGTCTGCTCGGGGGCGCGGGGGGCGGGGGGTGGTGCTTCCTTAGTCCTCAGCTTCCCGGATGAGGACGGTCTCCTCTCTCCTTTACCATCTGATCAGTCCATAGAGGGGTGGGCCAGAGTAGGGTCACAGTTGTTGGTATGGAAATAATATGGCGAATAAATAACAATGCAAGGATAAACTCTGTGTTTTGTGTACTCACAGCTATAAATCTACTTTGGCCACCCCTAGACACATGCATCTAGGACTTACGAACATGTATCTAACATTGCTCCTTGTGGCTCGCACCCTTTACCCCAGTGCTTCCTCCGTTCCCGCATCCGGGATCCTAGTCCGTTGTTCGGAGCCTCACGCCCGATGACCGGAGCCCTTACTCGGCGGGCCTCCCTCGAGGGCTTGCCGTCCACCCTGCACGGGAAGCTACCAGCTCTCCCCCCGAAACACCCGTGCGTAGGGTGGCTTTCTCACTGGCGAACCCAAAGGGCCTGTCGGTCCCACGTAAATGCAGCCCCTCTGTGTAGGACTTGGGGGGCTCATGTACGCACCCGAACCTGGTTTTCCCAGCTTACCAATGGGCAACGATGATAAAGCGTACTCTTTTCCTTATTACTGATTTTTTTTTAGAAAGAAAGAGAGAAGTGGGGGGGAGAGAGAGAGCAGAAAACATCGATCTGTTTTCCACTTACTGCGGTATCCCCTGGTGGGTCCTTGCATGTGCCCAGACCGGGGGTCCAACCCACAACCGCGTGGGGACGACACTCTAACCATTGAGCCGCCTGGCCGGGGTGGTCCAGCATGGTCTTCACCGCCCCCGGCCCAGGGTCCGTGAACTCCTCATTAACTAGTGATCGCTGTGATCTGCCAATTCCACATCCTCCGTGGAAGCCGTGGAACACAAGAAAGACAAAAACAATTCCCAGTAAATCCTCGTGGCGCGGCTCACCGGGGCTAGGGGTCTTTCATAGTGTGGGCAGAAAGTGCTTCCTTCTGAGACCTTTTGTTCCCCACTTCACAATGTGTTGAGCTGACATCGGGGACCCTGCAAGGACAAGGAGCCTTTCCCGGCAGCGTGAGTGGAGCTCGGTAAGGGGCTCACTCGTCGCGGACGTGCTTCGTGCTATAAAGCTGAGCCTCGGGCTGGGCAAAGCTGCTGATGCAAACCTGGACACCAAAATGGCAGCTCAGAACGGCCCCCCCCCGCCACCCGCACCCCGGCTTCCGAGTCTCTCAGACGGTGTTGTTTCAAGTCTACCCGCTGCTGGCTTCTCTCGGGAACGTTGCGTGCTTTTCTGTCAAGCAAAGTCAGCCCGTGTTCATTCATTCATTCATTCATTTCTGACACTCAGGATTCTGTCCGGCTAATTTCTATTGCACGGCCTAAATCTGTGCTTGTCAAAGAATCCTCAGACACCTTACCTAGCTAACACCTTTTGAAATATGTATGAGCCCCACCGAGGAGATTTGTGTGGAGTTGCCTGACGAGGAACGTTACAGTGTTACAGGTCCAGAGAGCGTGCTGTTGGAACAAATGTCACGACATGGATCCTTTCACAGTATTTTTCATATTGAACTCTCACACCTGCTCCTTTCCCTAATTATCCGGAGGTTTTTACACCCAGAGAGAACGAAAATGGAAATGTTTTGTTTTTTAAGATCAAGTAATTTGAAAAATTAGCTACTATGTATAAAAACATGCTCTGACACAGTCGTTGCTAAAAATACAGTCTCGAGATAGACGCCCGTGGAAAGAGATACAAAGTTGTTATGGCAACTCTGATTATAACCGCAGAGCTGGAGGGTTTTCCCCAGCGTTGTTGCTCCGTGGAGACGTGGCAGTTTAAATGGCAATGTCCTCTGTGATGTCCTCAATCTCATCACTGCATAATTACCCGTTTCACATTTAATTTTCAACATGTTCTTCCTCCGATGCTCTGCAGACTCGGCGCCGCTCTGATGAGCCTCGTTTCCGTTCTTAGCTCGTGCCCCCCCACCCCCACCCCCAAACGCAGCTCTCCTCCTCCCTGTGGCCTCTGTGCTGTGATTTCACTTCCAGGTCGACCTGGAGGACCCGGCTTTGGCTTGAGGTCCTCCACGTGTGAGTAAGAAGATGCTGTTGTGAAACTGTTAGGAAATACACACTCCTGGGGAGACAGCGCAGTCCGG